GAGAGACTGCTTCACTTTTGTGAAACAAAAAACCAACAGTGGTTGACTGTATTCAGTCAAACTAGCATTTATTAAGCTCTTACTATATACCAGGCACTGTGCTGAGTATTGAGAATACAAACAAAGGCAAAGGCACAGTCCCTGACCTAAGGAAGCTCACATTCTAACGGGAGAGACAACATGCAAATAATAGCAAGGCTTAGCACATAGTAGGCTTTTTGAAAATACTGTTTGATTGATTGAACACGCCTCTCTTGAAGGGTCAGTGCCAGGGATGGGGAGATTCTATTTGCACTGTTTGAAGAGTCTCATTCATTCCCTAACAGGACCATGTATGGCCACAAGTGTTTTATGTTGTTGCTTCCACATGTCCATAGCTGTCATGCCAGGCCTTTGGGTTTGCAAAGAGAAGATCATCTGTCCTCGCTTTCACCTATCCAGCTAAATCAGAACTCTAGCCATTTAAAAAAAGAAAACTTTCCTTCGGGTATTTGCAGTAGGGTGGGGTGGAGTATCAGGAAAGGGGGTTTATCAAAGCTAAGGCTGCAGTTCAGAAGGTCAGCTGCTCTTTTTCCTGAAAGCGACAAAGAGACCTAGAAACCTTTATTTTTTTTTCAAGAGCAATAGGAGCTGATCTGATACAAGGGGGAAGGACAGCATTTCTATTGCTGCTGGGTCCTTAAGGCAACAGAGGAAGCTAGCTAATGAGTAGGTTATACAATATTCATTGTGTTAGGTTTAATTCTTCAAACAGAACCATCTAATTGCAAAAAGAGGGGGGGAAAGAGCTAAATTACAGATGTTAAGAAAACAAGTGCCTGAAAGAACTCTCTCTGTTGATAAAGCTAATACTACTTATTCCACCCGGCAACCATTTCTCTGTACTGAATACTTGCTAAATAACATTGTCTATGATTCGCTGCGCTGATCAGGCAGCATTCTTAGGAGCAGGGCTATAGCTAATAAACACTCTGGAGCTGAAGGAAAGACCCACTGGGCTTGTGCTTTCAGACTGCAGTTCTCTTAGCTCTACCATTGGGGGTGACCCAGTTGTATTCGGCTTGAACTAACATGACACTGTTCTCCCGTATCTTTCTGAAGTGCATTCTTTCTCCGCTGTCCCTCACTGCAATGATGTCACTGTCGGGCTCCCCAAAAGACACTTCAGTCCTCTGGCGGCAGTACTGTGCGTGGAGGCAACGCAGGCCGGCGGCCAAAGCCATCCCAAGAGTGGCCGAAAGGCAAAGGAGGATCCCCAGCTGGGCGGTCACGACTCTCGTCTTTGGAGGGGAGCCATCTTCCTTTAGCCCAGCACCTACGGTCTCGAGCACTGGCTTGGTCAAATGAGGGAGTCCAGTGCTGTCTTCTCCATCGCCCTCTCCTCTGGGATCCACATACTCAGACTGAGGCAGGAAGCTGGCAGAGGCTTTGGGAAGCCCAGATTGCCTTAGAGCCAACTGCCTCAAGGCAGCAGAAGCCTTTGAGGCCATGCTGGAGTTGGCGGGCCTGCCACCGTTCTGAGCCTCTGCTTTGGTGACCATGATAAACTGAGAGTAGGAAAGATGAACAGAGAAAGGAGCTCCCATGGAGAAGGGAGGTCTGGTCAGAGTCAGGTTGTAAGCCTCAGGCCTCTCCTTTAAAAGCAAACCAGGAAGAAATAAAAAGGAAAAAGCAAATGGGATCAGTCAGTTCATGATCCCAGGCCTGGAACCTTTCACTGACATTTTCAACAAACCCACATTATGTTGCCGTTAAACTCTTCCATCTCAAGTTCCAACTGTTCTGAGCACTCCCCACTGAAAGACAGCAACTGAAAACCCCAGTCCCCCACTCAGCTCTCAATAGCTCTGAGCAAAGTGCAAGGGGAGACAGACACACAGTTGTTATTGATGGTGGTGGTGTGGCTAATGGTAGCCCCATTGAGGCTTTGGAGGTCAGAATGAGGTCTAAAGTTGGGGGTTCTTTAAGAGTCTTCCAAACAAATATGGTCTGTTCAAAGCCATTTGAAAGCTTTTAGCATGCCTTTCCATGCCAAGACCCCATGCAAAAGGGACCATTTAATCTTACTGTAGTTTCTGATAAATTTGAGTGAGAATATTATATCATGTTTTATTTTATGCTACTTCAAAGACTTCAAAGGAATAGTAAATCAGTGGGCATGTATATTTTATATTGTCCATTGATCTAACCTCTGAGACCGTATGTGGTTTTTTGAGGCCAGTGTTATGAAGAGTGGCTGAGTAGAGAAATTACTAACTGAGGCTAAGTGGGAAAACAAATCACTAAACCCATCAATTTTCACAATTGCCGATAACTTCAGAGACACTCCGTGTAATGGAGAGGCTGGTATTGATTGGGAGAAAAACTGTATGGGTTCATTGTTCCCTTCTTTCTCTGCTTCTCTCTGACTTTGGTTCCAGTCTCATGACCACCCTTGCCCCTTCCTTCATCGCATCCCCAAGCCTAGCATCCATTACCCTGTGGCCGAAATACAAGAAGCCCCACTTCTTACCTGCTCACCTTCATCACAACGCAAGCAGCGCTCTGCAGCACCAGAATCTGAGCCATCTTGTGTCCTAAAAAGGAGAGAAAAAGAGCTGAAAGGGTTCTAGAACAATAGATCTACCATTCCTACCATGGTCTGATGCCCTTTTAAAATCACATTCTCCAGGTTTGGTCCTTATAATACTTTTTAGGAGAATAAAGCAATAGAGAGAGCAGGAATGTGACCCACTGGATAGAGAATTGACTTTAGACTTCTTTATTTTTTTCTTTTTGGTAAGGCAACTGGGGTTAAGTGACTTGCCCAGGGTCACACACCTAGTAAGTGTCATGTGTCTGAGGCCGGATTTGAACTCAGGTCCTCCTGACTCCAGGGCCAGTGCTCTATCCACTGCACCACCTAGCTGCCCCAAGAACTGACTTTAGATCAGTAAGATTTAGGTTCAAGTCTTGCCCTGGATATAGATTGGCTGCATGACCTTGGGCATGTCCCTTAACTTCTCAAGAAACTCTCTAAGAGGACAAGTTGCAGAACTACATGGGTAGAGAGAGATTCTTCAGTGGGAGATCCCTAAACTCATGACACCATAGGGCTAGACTAGAGGTTCCCAGATTTAATTGGCTTACCACCCCCTTTTCAAAAAATATTACTCAGTGCCCCCCTGGAAATCTATTCTTTAACCCTTTAATGTTTTTTTTAAATTTGTGTCATTTCAAAAAAAATATAAAATATTCTTTTAAATGGCACATCTCAAATTTAATAATTTATTGTAAATTTGTGGGGGTTTTTCCCACATTGAAATTTTGATGATGCAATATTGCATCATCTAACTGTGTAGTATCGTATTGTAAACAAGTCATTACACGCACATATTCCCACAGATGCATGCTGGACTTCCCAAGAGTGCAGGACACACTCACCTGCCAACCGCGTTTGTTAAGACCTTTCGGTGGACTTGACCACTGATCAGTTATAATGTGCATTTTGTGTGTTTATTTGGAAAACAATGTAATCACTACGACTTTAACTGTCAGACAACAGATGAAACATGTACGAACGATTTTTCACAATTTTCTTCTCTTCTCTTCTTTCCTTATGCTTCCACCGCCCTCTTATTTTTATTCAATGCCCCTCAATTGCACCTGATGCTACTACCACCCCCCTGGATTTCAGTGCTCCATAGGGGGTGGAATCGCCCACCTTAGGAACCTCTACCAGACCAAAAAAAAAATGAAACCAGTAGTTGTTGGATCAGCTAAATACCACATCTCTAGCTGGGAAATAGATTCAGGGTCACACAGCTAGTTAAGTGTCAAGTGTTTGGTCTGAGGCCAGATTTGAACTCAGGTCTTCCTGATTTCAGGTCCGGTGCTCTATCCACTGTACCACCTAGCTGCCCTGAGAAGGTGGGATTAGAACACCTCAAAAGTTTCTCTCTCTTTTCAAGCTTTAAATGTATGATGGTATCATTAGATTACCTAATCAAACTCTTTCATTTTTCAAATGAAGAAATATGCTAGAGAGCTAGCTGGCATAGTGACCACTGTGGGGAACTGTGTACTGCACCCTGGGCAAGTCACTTAACCCCAATTGCCTAACAATATAAAAAATAAAAAATAATCCAACCTTCTCACTTTAGAGATGAGGAAAGCAAAATGTGGAGAAACTGAGGAACCTGATGAAGGTCACAGTATGAGAGAAATGATTATTTCTCTCTTGTATTAATAACTAATTATTGAATTAGGACCAATATTTTCCCCCTTTTCTACTTCCTCATCCAGAAATCAACCAGAAATTTCCCTCAAAGACTTACCCAGTCAGGATGACTGAGATCTAATCAAAGACAGTAAAAGAAAGTCTAAGTTTAGGTTAATGGGTGCATTTGTGCTCACTGTGTTTGCTCAGAAAGATCCGGGAAAATATTGATTCTCCCTTTTGTCAGACAGGTGATATGGAAATTGATAAGTCTCTTTGACCAAGATTTGGGTGATCCAAGTCAGGTTCCCCAAGACCCTCACTCTAATATAATCCAGCCTCTCATTATAATATTCATTTTCTCATTGTTAACTAATCAGAGTTGATTGCCACCGTAGGAGCGCCATGGACACATAAACTATGAGTCTACCACAGTCAGTGGTCTTTGCTCTGAGAGACAGTCACATGACCATCCTTTTATTAATAAACATGCTAGCATTATTAATAAAGTGATTAAATTGCCCAGAAACTATGTCTCTTGAACTTTTTAAATGCCACAGTAAATCAATGGGACTGAATTTGAACTCAGACCTTCTGATTCCAAAGGTGCCTTCTATTCTAAAGCCTAGATGCCTATATTCCTATGATTAGATCATCTCAGTCAGGGGATTTTAACTCTGTGTATGTGTATGTGTTCTGGACTCTTTTGGTAGTTTGGTGAAGCCTACAAAACCCTTCTTAGAATAATGCTTTTAAATAATTGAAAGGAATGCAAAATTTCAGTTAGGTTAGTGAAAATGAAGATGTAATTTTTGTTTCCCACCTGAGTTCACAGACCCTGCCTTAAGAACACCTGAGTTACAGGGAAGGAGAAAGGAAAGGAGAGATAGAATTTGGAACTCAAAACTTTTTTTTTCTTTCAGTTAAAGACAAGGTTTATTAGAACATCTGCCATATTAGCCAGACTCTGAAAGGAATCTGAATGTTAGTGAGCTATTGGCTAGATTATAAGAATCTGAGCCTTTGGCTAGATTTTAAGAATCTGAGCACCTTAATGGAGACAAGATGGACCTTATATACAGAAAGACTCTGGGAGGGATCTAGGAGTGGGCAAGTAGTTTGGGGTGACTGGAGGAGGGGTCTAAGGAGGATCTGGAGGGGAGTGGCCAGTAAGCTGGGGTGACTGTGAGGTAACAGAAAGCCAGGGACCTGGACCACTTGGCCAAGGGAGAATGGAGCCTAGGTAGGATTAAGGGTGGGAAGTAGCCAGGGGCAATTGGGAGGTAACAGAACAGAATTGGGAGA